ATGTAGTTGGCGACGGCTCCCTTCGACAAGTAGAGCTCGGCGGCAATCTTTCGAATGGCCCATTTTGCCTTGCGAAAGGCAAGAATCGCTTCACGCTCGTGCAGGGTTAAACGCTCGCCTTGTGCCATGTCTAATGCATGCATACATGAGTGTTATTGTCTATGTATGTTTCGAGCTATCATACACGTCTATCGCAGGTAGCTGGACGATCGACGGGAGCATGCAACTGCGTAAATGGACTGTGTACCAATGTTTTTTATCCAGTGTATCGTTCGAACTTTTTTTAACATTACTCAGCACGTATACAACGTGCCTGTAATATAAATATACCAACGTATTCGTCTCTTTCATTGGATGAAGCTGATCCTTAACGCGTGTTGATTGGACAAATATTGAACAAGTTGCAAGTAAAAATCAAGTGTACCAACCCTTTTTGTCCAGCACTGTAGTTTTGCTTATGGGAGTCGAGTTGCGAAACGACTATATTTGGTCTCCCACTCCATTTCCCAGACAACCGGATAATGCTATGGGAATGGGAAATACGCAAGTTGCGAAACCTCTCTATTCACAAAATGGCTTTTTGAGCCAAAATGACATTTTTCGCATCAAAATGTGAAATCGGGCACAAAATGGCGTTTTGGCGATACAAATACTTTATACTACTTCGAAGTATTCGTTCTTTTTTCAGCCTTGGTCAGCTTTCAACTCAGAATAACGTTATATAGAATGTACCGTGAGTTATTCCCACTTCAATTCTACCTTTCGAGATTTCACGCAGCCTCCTGCAATGTAGGACACATGTGATGTTAACAGGCAGGCTTTGCTGTTGTTGGGAATTTCGGCACTTGATTTCGTGAACTGCAGGATGGGAAAAACGTTTCAAGGCATCAATCAGGGCACAATAACAAAACAAGTAACATACATATTTTTTATCACTTGGGACTTTACAACACTACATCGTCAGGTACATAGCGCCATTAGTTAGTTGCCACACCAAATCGTTTGAAACCCAGTGAACGAAGCACATTGGGCCTGCGTGTAGCCCAACGGAAAGCACGCAACCAACACCTTGGAGTAGCAGCCCTTGCATCCGTTGCAGTCCGAAACAGGCCCCGTCGGGGTAGGCGTCACTGGGGATTTCGTCGTCACAGGAGCCACAGACGTCGTCACAGGAGCCACAGACGTCGTCACAGGAGCCACAGACGTCGTCACAGGTGTGACAGTGGTGGTAATCGGGGCCGAAGTGGAGCCACCGGCCAACGCGTCTTTGGGCACCAAGTTGGCGGCCGTGAGGTCCTTGATCACTTTGCTGATCTTGACGCCGCCGTTGAGGCACCCCCCGCAGTTGTGCAGGGCCACCACGGCGTTGTCCTTGGCACTCAAAACGGGCGACCCGGACGACCCGCCTTCCGTGTCGAGTGTGTACCCGACTTCATCCGCCACACACGACGGAATGCTGATGCTTTCGATGGTGCCGACGGCGCCCGAGTCGACGATTGTAGCAATGCGCTTGGGCTTGCCGCCCGGATGTTGGGCAATGTAAATGGGTTCCCCCAACACGGGGCCGGACGCGCGGGCTTGGAGGTACCCGTAAGAGGCCAAGGACGCGCCGTTGGCGAGCTTGAGCTTGACCAGTGTAAAGTCGTTGGCCGGGTTCGTGTACAACAACTCGGACGATGTGGCCACCGTCACCCCCTTGCAGGTCCCCCCGGGGATGGTCTCGCAGGTCGTGCACTCGGCCCCAAATTCAAACTGGGTGTTGGACGCATCGTTGGCGTTGCGGATGCAGTGGTTGTTAGTGATCAAGTGGCCTTCCGACCCAAACAGCCAGCCCGTGCAAAGCGACCTGCCGTTGATACGGAGCCGGGCCACGGCCTGCGCCTTTTGGTACTTGGGGGCGTCCGACGTCTTCAAGCACACGGCCGACTGGGAGTCGTCCTTGCCGCAAATCGCTTCCACTTGGCTGTCTAAGTCAGCTTTGGGGAACCCGTGGGCAAACTTGTCAATCAAAAACGCATTGGGGGCGTCGTTTGCGAGCAACGAGTCGATCAAAGAAGAACGAGGAGGGGTGTACGTAATAAACGCACTGTCCCCATCGATGAACTCGGCGTAAAAGTTGGTTTGCGTCACGTTCGTGTACTCGTGGAACTGCAAGCCGTCGGGGGAGCTGATGGTAAGCAATCCCCCCACGGGGATGTTGACTGAGGCAAAGTGGAGCGACAGGTACGCCGCGTCGGGGCGGTTCAATTGGTACGAGAATGGAGTGTATACGTTGGACGTCAGCAGCACCAGCTCGTCGGCCCCGATCACGGGAGCAGATTGGCATTGAAAGGCCGACACGGCCGACGCCGCCAACGACAGAAAAGACACGAACGCGGACACAGCAACCATGGGGAGAATTGTAAACTGGGAGGCCGTGGTGGTTCGTTCAAGCTGGGAACGAAATGAACTCAGAAAATCGACCGATGCGGTCTGAGTAGAGAGGAGTTGTATATGGACGACTCGGCCATCTGAGTTGACAATGCGACATGTGTAGTTCGGTGAACAATTCGTGGCAGTCAAGTTGTACAATTCCCTCATTTAAACAGTTCTACTGTTGTGTTTCTCAGAAATCCATGCCACCGTGAATCGGCATAATCTCATACTATTAATAGTACTTCGAAGTATTGTCGATTTGATACAAATTTGGGGAGGGGGTGCAATCGAATCGCGCCGACCAAATCGATCCACAATCGATCTGATTGGTTGAATTTCATTGAGAAGGTTTTGATTGGTTAATAATTCTGAAGTAGCCAATCAAATCGATTTAATTTCCAACGAGAAACCACGCCACAACACGAAATTTCACTCGAAAGCACAATACTACAATTCATAACACATGTCAGCTTTGTCAACTACTGTAATGCAAGAAATGTGGCTGACGTTATGTATGCCTACGAGACCGAATGCCCCGGCACTCTCACCACCCAAAGTTCCGTTGGTGTTTCCAATGGTGAAGTATCGCTGTAACCCCTGCACCACATACCATACAGTAACTCTGTGTGAGGTGGGGCTTGATCCTAGAATAAGCTACAGTACAGTATGTACCGATGGGAACCAGTGAACCAGTTTCGTACAGTTTAATGGCAGCTTCAAAGTGGCCACTGACACGTCGAAATCAGAAGAACGTTGATAATGAAACAGGTGCTGCTAGTCGAAATCAGAAGTACTTTGATAATGAAACAGGTGCTGCCAGTCGCCTTTGCCAAATTTCAAGCATGGATTTGTGTCTTGTATAACGTACTACTACAGTAGTACTGTACAGTCACACCAATCCTTGGATCCCCGCAGTTGGAATTGGTCCTGTTCCAAGAATATTTATAGAAGGTTTATATTACACCATACCTTCAAACTCCGAAATTATACTATTACGACTTACAGTACTAGTACTACACATACAGTATATAAGACGTCGCACATACCGGTAAGCGAAAATAAAACCAAGTAGTAAACCTGGGACTTCGTCCTACCCCGGTGGGCACGAATACTTCGAAGTATAATGTTATTTCCAGAGTTAAGCGCATCAAATTATTAACCACTGAGACGCCTTACCCTATCTGGTACGCGTTGTATTGGTGCTATCAATAGAAATCCCACCACTTTGCATATATATTTGTCCAACAAATCCTCATTTCACGCGTTATGATTGGCTGTTGTAAGTTAGCTCAGAATTCATTACTAACAGGAAAGGTATCGTTTGGGACTTTTGAAGGTATTAGTACTGTAGGGTATACCTGCGGTGGGGGAATTAGGAATAATTCCATCATTCAAAAAGTTTCACTGTTGTTTTACTGTTTCAATGAGGGAATTATTACATCCGGATACACTTTTCGCCAGTAGCCTTGTAACCTGGGACTCCGTCCTATTCCCGGTGAGTACATACGATGCTAAATCTCCGGGGTTAACTGCATCGCTAGTGGTTAGCGATAGCTAACCACTGAGATGCATGCAAAGTTCCATATAAACACGCTTTGAAACAGTAGTTCGGGTCAAAACAACAGTGGAACTGTTCTAATGATGGAATTGTACGGGAATTAGTCACTGTTTAGATCAAGTTTTGTCAGCAATTCCTTCGCTGCAACAGTAGTACTGTTGTTACGTAATCATTTGACCCTCCTGCCATACAAAACACACGTTATTTCTGGCACATAGTCAAATCAAGTGTAAATTCAAAACAACTCATTTCAGCTAGGGGTTAAGAGCATCTCAGTGGTTAGCGCTAGCGAACCACTGGTGATGCAGCTTAACCCCGGGAATAGCATTTTATGTAAGCGCAAGGGGTTCAGGGGTTCCGGGGTTATAGGGGCCTTTGGTAAAAATGATTACGTAACAACAGTACTACTGTTGCAGCGAGGGAATTGTTCCAAGTTTCGTCCATAGATCGAGTTTCGTTCGTCTCGTAATTAACATTCAGAGTACGTGTCACATTTAGACTTGGGTATGCAGATACTGTACCATCATTTGTTATAAGCATCAATCACCCAACCACGTCTCAAACGCTGAGTATGTACTTACTTCTAGTACGTACTAGTACAGCCTCCTCATGAGTGAGCCCCTATTGCTCCTTGAGTGGATGTATTGGCGACATCGGCCTAATGTAACGTCCAAGTAACAAGCAGTAATTTCAATGCTTAGGGAATACCAGAGTAGTAAACTGTATCACATCGAGACGCTTTGAGCTGCGTACTTGGTTGAGTTTGGTTAATTTGTGTCGCCCCGTGCATTAATACTAACTCATGGTACAATGTACGGTAATGCGATCCATTATCAGGTTGTTATGTGATTGATGTAAATACATCAACAGCTGTATCAACAGGGAACGTTCGACAGTATTAGTACTGTACTTGTAGTTTACAATCGTGTTACTCCTTAGCATCAGTACTACAGTAGAACTGTACAATTAACTGTACTGGTACTGTAAGTACAGCACTTTAACCTTGAATTGTGATGAACACCCCCCTTTCTATATACGAGTACATTCATACAACTTACCGGTTAGTACACGTTGACTGGAGCCCAATACATGTAGTACAGTACTTGAATGAATGTTAAGCTTATGTTAATTATTCGAGTCCAAAATACATAGTACTAGTATGAAATACCGAGCATCAGCATGTTCCATGGACTGACATTCCGTTATTTCCAGGGATGCTGTTGTTGCTCAGATTCACCAAATCATCCTACGACCGTGAGTGGCCGGGCCGGACTGGGGCTACTGATACAGTCAGCTCAGATTAGCCTTCGGGTATCTATCATCGTCGCGGATGACTTTCTGAGTTCGGGCTGCTTGGACTTTTTGCTCAGATTTCATTTTTGAATTTGCCACTTGCCATGAACGTTCTGTTTGCGTTGTCTGCTCTCTTCGCTGCCTCCACGACCGTTGTCGCCCAACAAGAAATTGTCGGCGGCACGGAAGCTGCGATTGGCCAGCACTTGTACGTGACTGGTTATCGCCGGACCGAGACGGGGGCTGCTTCGTGTGGATCAAGTTTGATCGCCCCCAACGTCGTCTTGACCGCCGCCCACTGCATCGGAAGTCTCAACTTTGTGTCGATCGGGTCGCACTACAGAAGCGGCACCAAAGACGGTGAGCGCATCAAGGTGAAGCAAGCGATCAAGCACCCCAAGTACAACGCCGCCACCACGAGCCATGATTTTGCCATCTTGATCTTGGAAAAACCGTCCAAGTTCCCTCCGGTCGAGGTCTCGTTTGACACGGTGGCGCCTGGCACCCCCACGATTGTGCGCGGGTGGGGCCGTACGTCTTCGGGCGGAGTGACTTCTGAAGTGCTGCTGGAAGTCGGCGTGGATTCCATCAGCAACGACCAATGCGCCAAGCTGTTGACCGGATACACCGTGAATGAAGCCATGCTGTGTGCGGGCGGCAAGTTGGGCGAAGATTCGTGCCAAGGCGACTCTGGTGGACCGTTGACGGTGGAAACCAACGGAACTGCCAAGTTGGTGGGAGTGGTCAGCTGGGGCATCGGATGTGCCCAGCAGGACAAGCCTGGTGTGTATAGTCGCATCTCCATCGCCCGCGACTTTATTGAACCCTTCATCACCACGTCCCCCACCGCTGTCCCCATTACGACCAACGCTCCTACTGTGGCCCCCACGACTGCTCCTACCGCAGCCCCTATCACCAGCAATGCCCCTACCACCAGCAACGTCCCTACTGCAGCCCCTACCGCAGCCCCGATTACCACGAACCCTACTGTGGCTCCTATTACCACTGCCAAAGTTTCTACGGTGGCCCCCACTGACGCCCCTACGACTGTCTCGCCGTCCAAGTGCGGTGGCTGCTCTAGGTGCTTCTACCCTACGCTGAACCACTGCTTCCCCCCTGCGTACACTCAAACAATCTGTGCCACGTACGCGAGCTTGGGAGCGTACTGGTGCGGCAACTAGTTGTATTACAACGTAGTACATGTATTGCTGCAGAGCGATAAGTATGCTGTCAATAAACTTGAATGTGTGTGAAACCGAGTTGGTGATTATATCATCAAACACTGTACACAGTATTGCCTTCCAAAGTTGTTATCCTGAACTTCTCTACTTCCGCCCATGACCATACACCTATTTTTTGAGTTACTATTTTAATAGTAACTAAAAAAATAGGTGTAAGGTCATTCATTACTAAGTTACTATTAATATAGTAACTTAGTAATCCCATCCGACTTCGGTACTACCGGTAGTTCTACGTAGTACTTTGCAATGAGTCGACTTTTCCAATAGGCACCTCCATGAACACATATATTCGCCTAGTCCGAAAGAATAAATTTTCAAAGGACTTCCTGAACACCAACAATAATACTAACGTTAGTACAGTCCTCCTAACATTACACAGTCCTCCTAACATTATACCGTATTCCGTAATACGTGTTAGATACTCCTCGTTTATAGAGGTATTCGGAGGTTTGCCACGAAGACAAGCTTGCTTGGCGCCAAACTTCCTCAGCCAACCCACAAGCCAATCATTTCAAAATACTGATGGCAGGGAGTCCAACATGCGTATCTCGACCGCGGCCAACGGGGCGTCCCGTCTGCAAGTGTGGACCCAAGAAGAAGCCAATGAAGCATAAGAACCATGTATGCGGCTATCAAGAGCGCCATGACGTCATACAGTTCGTTGCGGCGCACGGCATGATCGCCACGTTGGATCGATACTACAACAAACTCACGGATGCCATGTGAGAGACCCAGCGCAAGAAGATCTGTCAATGGATTGCGAAGATGGAGCACATCAAGTGCATGGCCATGAGTCCGTCCACGGCCAAGAAGCGTTGCTGGCGTAGTCCTGGGACCGGAACGACACTGTCTGCCGTGGCAGAAGAAATGCTGGTACGGTAGGTTCACGGCATGCACCAGCATGGCGTCCCTGTCACCTAATCAATGCTGCAGATCATCGCATTGGAAGCTGCGATTGAGGCTACAGTGAAGACGAATTCAAAGCAGCTGGCACTGGGTCTACGGATTCAAGCGACGGCATCGGCTGTCCCTCCGAGCCAGCACTCAGATTGACCAGGATTCGACCGATGACGGCGAGCCATGCTTGATGAGTTTGCGTAAAGGGTCCGCACCCTGATGACCGAACACGAAATTGACGTCGTGTAGAGTGCCGACCAATCGGCCATCAACTATGTAGCGTTGTGACAGGTGGGTTAACGGCTTGCCACCACCTTGCCCGCACCCAGCTTCTAAGTACCTGGCTCATGACGAAACCTAGCTAATGCTTGCCTGGGAATGTGTCTCTAGGACAAGTATGGCTTAGAATCGCTAGCCTAGTGAAGTTCCCCAATGTCTCAACCGCACCCGCATCCATTGTATACAAAAGTGCATATTAGTGTAGAAGTAGTGAAGTAGACTAAGAAGTTTTCATAGTGATGAGGATTAAGGAGATCTTTGTAGATCTTCAGTTAATTCATTGTGCATTTTGCCCTCAACTACACACGCTTCCTCCCGCAGTGCTATAAACTACGAGTACCTGCGAACAAGAACCCTCAACGACACTGGCGACAAAACAGTGCGGCGGCAAGGACAAGGAACGTGCAACAGCCATGCTGATGTCTGATTTGACGGGAACCAGGCACCCCTTGTTCCTGGTGTTGCGAATGACAAAGTCCAAGATCAAGACTGTGATTCAAGAGACCCTGAAAGAACGACAAGGGTTCGGGAAGCGCCTTTGGTCGTCAGTGGAGCCGTTGGAAGCCAAGAACACTTGCGTCATCTATGGAAACCCTACTACCTGGTGGAATGCTACGATTTCGTTGGACTTTTTGAAGTTCCACTTTGGCAAGCGATCAGATCAAGCGACCAAGAACGTGCTGCTTTTATGGGATGATTTCTCAGCGCATTGGACCGATGAAGTCGTTGCCTACGCCGAGTCCATCAATGTCGTTCTGTGAGCGTGTTCTGCCAAGGTTAACGTGGGCCTGTCAACCTACCGACGCCACGTGGAATCGTCCTCTGAGGTTGCGATGCGAGAAAAGTTGTTGAACCTATTGCGGCTTCAACTCAGTTTCTTGTGACGGAGGTTGGACCTTGGAACTCTTCTTGGTCACCTTGGATGTGCTTGAGTCGTGTTATGTCGTGGATTGCCTCGGTGTGGACAGATCTGTCGGAGTCTATCATTATGAATGGCTATAGGGCGTGTCGTTTAGTGGAAGGCGAAAGTGTGAATGTCGCTGATGATGGTGGGTATGTTGACGACGAAGTTTTAGCTGAGTTGATTGAGAATTGTGCTGTTGAAGCCGTGATTGGCCCATCGAATGACATTGACAATGACATTGATAGCGGTGATTACGATGACTATCAATTTCTCTGATTGGTTAACTCGTTAACTAGATAATATCATACCCTGTTTAAATTTATACCCTTGTGTAGTCTATAGTTTTTTTGGTAAGTCTACGTGGGTAGTATATACAGAGATTGCACGATCTAAACAGATCTGTTGGTGAAACCTGCTTAGTGGACACTCTTACATACGCCTGTGATAGCAGGGCACCATGGAGAGAGAGGGAAATGGGATGGCATCATGACGAACTCGAGAAAATTTAGGTGCGTCTATAATTTCTGGACACATTGTACTAGTATGTGTATTTGTATATCTAACTGAAAAAACACCTTTTCACCCGTTTTTCAATGTATCCGTATACGGATGTTGGCACATGGGTGACTAACTCGTATTACGGAATACGATATGAAATGTATCCCCCTAATTTTATATTCATGGTACAGGACTGCAGCTTGGACGGCGAAGTCCAACGTCCCAAACGAATTCCCGCAATCATCATCATGCTAAGCATGCCGCTGGCGCTCTTGTTGATAGCTTCAACTTTTATACCAAGTGATGATCTATTACACGGTTGGTTGACTTGGCCCAGCACGTGTAATTGGAAGTTGTAATGGGATCCAATTACAACCGATCACACAATTCCCATTGGTACAAGCCGCCTCCAGGAAAGATCTAACTCCTTGATCGATTTGCTCGCCTTGATGATTATGCTTGACAAGACATCGCGCCGCAAGAGCAATCGCTCGCTTTCGTCCGGATTCCGCGCTACAAGACGTTGCCGACCTCAACGCTCGAGCATGCCTATTGGGGGATACCTGGAGGATACACTTCATAACACATAGCAAGCTTCGATCGCGCAGACACGCGTCCTCAAGCTTATAGTCCCCAATTACGGAGAACCAGTCTCATATCAACTGCTCCATTGGATGAACAAGTTGATGGCACAACGAATGTTTTGAACAACGACGAAGATATGATCCGCGTGTCTTCGAGATGTCGCATCTTAATCGTCGTGCGGATGATATAGCATGGAGTAAAGTTAGAAAGACTGTTCGAAAACATCACTTCCAATGATTTCATCGAACAGTTGAAGGCAGCTTTGCTAAGTTTCGCTTCCATTTGGAGTTCCTATTTGTCAAGCAAGGTAAACGCTCTATTCGCGAGTATAACAACGTTTCGTTGCGTCGTGTGTCTACTACAAGACTTTGCCTCAGATAATCCAAGGTGGCAACAGTCGTGAAAGTTTCCAAGGATTAGGCTGCCGGCATGCAGCATTATTGCACAAATCCTTCGACATTCGAAGATGCTGTCCGCACTCACGCGAGTGGCACCTGCTCTTATTATTGCCTTTTACTTTGGCCCCCCGCTTTGGTCGTCTCATTGTCGCGAGTGGTGATCGCGCGGTTAGGGACACGGGACTCCACAGTAGCCGCGAGGCATCCTAATTAAATATAGGAGGCTACAGTGGGCCTGCTGTTTGATCGTGGTGGCATAACATAAGCAACGGGTCCTGCCTCGGCCAATTTTTCTGCAAGTTTCTTTCACCAGGCATATCATTGGGTACGACTATTTGTTCCGCGTGCACGTCGAAATTATATCCGACGCGCTTCGATTTAACGAAATCGTTCCGTCGATGATGACGCTATCTGGCGCGCTTCACCGCACTCTGACGTGCGTGTGAAGATGTCTGACGGCAATGTTGTCACCTCGCTGAAGGTCCCTGTTGATCTTCCTACGTCGGTCGGATAATTTATCTCCACCGAAAAATTCTATGTCGTCGACCTCGTTGACTGCTTTGACTTGATATTTGGCATGCGATGTTTGAAGAAACACCCACCCTGGATCGATTCGCGATCCAAGACGACGACGCTCAAAATGGCATCCGTCGACCCTTCAACTGACCTAGGCGTGATGAGTAATGAACTCACTCCTTTGCCTGTTTTGGTGACGCATAACGGCGGCGCACCAGGCGTAGTCACGTGTCCCACCACCTGGACTTCGAGGTTGGACACAGTTTCCGTCACGGATGACGATGATACGGACGCCGCCATGGATGGCAATGATATGGTGTCATCACGAGTCTGTCTCTCCAAAGACAAAGTGTACGACATGATATTGACTTGATGCGGGCACCAAGTCACTTGCACGCGACCAAGTCGCGTAAATGGACGAATTGTTTGCCCCACCCAAGAAATCCGGCCACGTGCGGAAAAGCAAGTCCCCGTGTGACGGAGTCGTACCTGGACTTGCGCTGCCAAATGACCTCGTAAAACTGCCGTCACAGAGGTATATTTGTTCGATTGGTCGATTATCTTCGAATTCGACTGTCCTTCCCCAGAGGTCTCTTGACCTTAGATAGTTCACTTATACATTTGCTTAACATTGGATCTACTCCTTGCTTGCTGTGCTCCTGTTGGTAAATCCGAGAGAATCCGGTCCTAAAGTCCGAACCTTCGAAAGTTTGTGCTCTAACCCCTACGACCGTCACAAAATTGGTGGAGAAGAGGGTGACGCTCCTGTCAAACCAAGAAATCCAGCAGACCTGAATGTACAATGGCCTAAGGATCCACCTCCTGTAGAAGTCATCTCAGACGGCACGGATGTTACCTCAGCCGACCCAGCCCTGACCGATATGAGCCTTGACCTCGTGAGCGTGGCTGACGACGAAATCCTACTGAGCTGCAGCTCTGATGAAGAGTGCAAAATTCAGTCTGAACCAGCCCAAAGCACCCCAGTACAAAAACAGCTGAAGCGTGACAGCAACTACCGAATTCAACACCACTCCAACTCACCCGAACAAGAGGCTTGGAGAAACGAACCAAAGCGACGGAAGGCACGGACGAGGCCGTTGAACGTAGCTTGAACACTGCTCATTGCAACCTCACCGGCGTCCTTGACCGCGACAGTGACCTACCCATAGAGCCCCGTAGCTCGTCCGAAGACCTGGTATATACAGACAATGCGATCGAAGCAAGCTTCGATGAATCCATGTCAGACGTTTCCATGCTGACTGAAAACTACGACGAAGAGATGTCGATTGTTCCGTTTACTGCTGCAAGCTCAGCCCCGCATTTTGACTCAGGGGGACGAGTACATCTCGTCCAGCCCAAGATCTGGCTGGGCCTTTGTCAATCCTTGCAACTGGAGTGCAGTCGGAATCAAATTGTCCGTGGCTGAAGTGTCTACCCCACCCCTGGCTTGCCTCTCTTTGCGGAGTCGACTCACGTGGTAGCTACACACACGGTCCAGCTTGACACGAATCGCCAGCTGACTGTAGTATGTCGAGCTTCCGTCGAGAGCTATGAAACCAGTCTGGCCTTGGACCAGACGCGATCACGTTTTGACTCACCTACGATGACTCGTTTGACTCTGCCTGCATCGAGCTTTGCACATGAATCGGCAGTCTACAATCCAGCCTTGCCTTTGGGATTGTCCCCCGTCGTTTGCATGGAGCCGGCGATTGACGAAACCTTTCCTCGCCTAATGAATGTCCAAACCTCGTCGAACCGTCTAGAGAAACCCATGGGCGTCGAGGCTAGCACGAATGATGCTTTGCATTAACCGATCGTGGAACGTTAGCAGCAATTGATGGTATTTGCATCGGACCTAACGTTTGGTCTGGCTCCAGTCGTACACCGCGGCGAGATCATGGGGATCGACAAAATGACAACATTGACGATGCCTCCCATGCATGTTGTTCTCGACGACTTTGGTGAAATGGAGACCGACAACAACTCGATCGTGGAAGCTACTACAGTTACGGAAGCGGTCATCAGTTCTCCGACCTGTGCAGATCTCGCAAATTTAGAATTGTGAGCCTTAAGCCAAATTTTCTCAGACCTTCTTTCTGATCAAGTCCAAACCTTGCGAGGCTCGTCCTTCGAGCACCAATCCGTTACCACGGACCATTCGAACCGAGTGGACGAAACTCTTTCGTCTAACCGTGTCAGCTGCTACCGACGAATTTGTCCGCCTCGGCAACGCTGTTGATATGGTAACCGAACGGAACCAATCACTGGATCGAGGCGTTTCGTCGATCCATCTTGAGCTACAGGCATTGGGCTCTTCGGTGAATATCCTTTATTGGCCGTTTCAGATCCTACGGTAATCCCCCAGAATACCCGTGCCATTTCTAACTGCACCCTTCGGTGCAAAGTCAAGCTTCGGCCGCTGCTCAACTTCAGATCACTCTTGACTTGTACTTAGGTCGCGTCTCCAATGAATTTCAGCATCTCTCGTCTGACGTCCAAGCTCTCGATCGTCTCTTGCACGAACAACTTCCTGTAACATTGGCCGTTCCTGACGACACTCGACCCCGCCTAGAAGCGCTTCGCCAGGAAAACCGATTGCGTCTCGTCCCTCGTCCACGACAAGACCCTTCTGCAAGACCGCGTGCTACTTCTCGAAGCACGCATTGATCACGACTCAGTCTAGACTTCTCGTCCCGTCTAGCACAAGCGAGACCCCTGCACCCGAATCCTCGTCACGACCGGCCTCGACTAGCCTGACTCGCGACTCATCCGAACCATCCCCAGGCTACCCTTTTCAGCTACCTTCCGAACTCAATGCCCTCTTGACCAAAATGTCCAGTAAAATGGCTGACGTCAAGGAGGATATCGACACGTCCTCGAGCAACCATGCCTTTTGTCACGCTGTGCCATCCCGTCGTCGGACGCCCAAGATCACTGCGAGTACTTCATGAAGCAGCTTGTGGAACAAGATAACCGTGGTGGTCTGACCGACAACGAACGCAAGTCTCTTCTCGGTCTGAAGCTCTCGGCCGACAAGACTCCCGCTACCCTGAACGCCTGGTGGATCGCTTACTCCAAGACGAAAGGCGGTGACCACGATAGCTTTGTGGACCAGTTCGGCAGTAGCATTCCTCGCGACCATATGGACAAGCTGAGCGATCCATGGACAAAC